TGAAATAAAACATGTATGATGAACTAAAACATGTGTATGATGAAATAAAACATGTGTATGATGAAATAAAACATGTGTATGATGAACTAAAACATGTATGATGAAATAAAACATGTATGATGAACTAAAACATGTATGATGAAATAAAACATGTATGATGAACTAAAACATGTATGATGAAATAAAACATGTATGATGAACTAAAACATGTATGATGAAATAAAACATGTATGATGAACTAAAACATGTATGATGAAATAAAACATGTATGATGAACTAAAACATGTATGATGAAATAAAACATGTATGATGAACTAAAACATGTATGATGAACTAAAACATGTATGATGAAATAAAACATGTATGATGAACTAAAACATGTGTATGATGAACTAAAACATGTGTATGATGAAATAAAACACAAGACCAGCTAGTAATGAATTAACACTCGACATCTTAAACGACAACTACCTCATAGGATGACAGGGGTCAAATCTTGGTCCTCTCCTCTTTCTCATTTTTATCAATAACTTTTCATTTCATGTTAGAAATTGTGCTACAGACCTCTTTGCTGATGACAGTACAGTACACTTTTCTCAGTCACCATAACTTAAATTGTATTAATACCACCCTTCAAGATGATTTGTTTAAAACCTGGTGTGAGGATAATGTATAAATGCTACAAAACCAAGGCGATGTTAATTGGTTCTAATCTGCAAACAACAAATAACCAATTAGTATTAACTGTAAATAATGTACCTATAGAGATTGTTACTTATATCTTACTATTGACCACCATCTTGAATGGGATTTCCAAATTAAAAAACTGTCAAAAATTATAAGTTCTAAAATTTTCCTTCTCAGTCAAATTAAAAAATGCATTCCATTAAGCTTACATAAATTGTTTTATAATAGTTTTACCATTTTTTGATTATTGTTCTACAGTTTGGGGTAATTCCAATAAAAGTAAGTAAGAGGTTTTATACAAATTACAAAAACGCGCTACAAGGAGTATAAAACATGAAAAACATTGTTCACCTTCGGCACCATTATTCAAAATTTTAAATTGTTTGACACTGTATCAACGTATTAGATGTAATCGTGGCATAATGACATTCAAAATATTTCAAACTGGACACCCTGAATAATTATACAATAAATTTAAGGAAAGATCAAAATTAACTGAAACCAGTATGACACTGAGATCAGAAACACCCCGAACTTTAGACATACCGAAATGTAATAAAACTGCTATGATGAGAACATTTCAATATTCAGTTTCTTTACTTTGGAATTCATTACCACAAACTGTAAAACATAGTTCTTTATATACATTTAAACAAGAACTGAAGAAGTTTGTTCTTACTGACAATACTGATTAATTGATTCCATAGCATTTATAACAAGTCCTCTTGTTTTTCTCTCCATTTCATTTTACTTAAAAACTTATACCATCATATATATCATATAAGAAACCAAGTGTTTACATTTTTATATTTTTCACCACATCCGTGATGCATTGTAAATGTATATATGTTTTATGAAATTTTCTGTATTTTTTTTATAAACTTAGTATATAATTCGTAGTTTCGTGGGAAACACAGTGGTTACATTTTCATATTTCTTTCCTCATTCTTGTTACATTGTAAATGTTTATATGTTTTATGTTATTTTCTGTATTTTTATTCTTTCTGTAATCTTGTATATAATTTGTAGTTTAGTGGGACCTATTTAAAATTAAACTTCTGTCGTAATGGGTTGCCAAAATAAAGGTATCTTCTTCTTTATAACATGATGAGTAGTTTATTGACCTAATTGCCGGGTTTGCCAATCATGCCACGATATTAGTCTGGTGGCCAAACACCAGATTTTGATGAAAGTATGTTTTGGAGTACATACAATGTTTTATTGTTTTTCCTGCATCACCTTTTTTTCCGTGGCACCCTTGAGAAAATTTTTTATGGACCAAATTCAAAGTGGCCACCATCTCTGATATTCCGAGGACTATTTCTGTCATAACTTTGCTTCTAGTGCACCAATAGACATAATTTTGATGTTGAAATATATGTTTTCGAGGTCAAGGAATTTATGATGGTTTGTAATCCCTATGGGCAGGTTTTTATCATGAAAATTAAATTAAATTGAAAATTCTCGATATTCCGAATACTATTTCTGTCACAACTCTCCTTCTAGTGCACCAATAGACATAATTTTGATGTATATATTTTTTCAGGATGGTCAAGGAATTCATTTATGATGGTTTTATTCCCTGTGGAGAAAAATTAAATTATATCAAAATAAAATTTACAATACTCAGTAGAAATAGTCAGAAGTCCCGTATAACTTTACTCATTTTATAATTGTTTCATAAATTCTGGTGTTGGTAAAGTTTGTTATTACTGGTTTCCAAAATAAATATTAGTACTTATAATAAACAGTCAAAGAACCTTCGCTTCTACCAGTCCAACAACACCTCTTACCACCAGTCCAACAACATCTTCACTACCAGTCTTGAAATATACCCTACTATCCAAAACCATCGCCTACTACCAGTCCTACAATAACCCCTTCCACCAGTCCGTAGGCATCCCCCATTACCAGTCCGACAACATCTCCAATCTACCAGTCCATTAACATCCCCTACTACCAGTTCAACCAATTTTCCTACCACAAATCCATCATCACCCCCCACCCCCATACAAAACCAGCGACATCTACTGCCAGTCCAATAATCTTTTGTAATACTTATTCAATAAGACCCTCTACTACCAGTACGATAACACCTCCTACTACCAGTACAATAATGCCCCCTACTACCAGTACAATAATACCCCCTACTACCAGTACAATAACACCCCCTACTACCAGTACAATAATCTTTTGTAATACTAGTCCAATGACACCCCTTATTACCAGTTCTAAATCATCTCCTACTACTAGTCGAACATCCTCTACTACTAGTCCTACTACTATTGATGGACTGGTGGTAGGAAATCTTGTAGGATGGGTTGTGAGCCATGTTATTGGACTGGAAGTAAGAGACGTTTGTTGATTATTAGGTGATGTTCAAGGGCTTGTAGTGGGGGAAGTTGTTGGACTTAGTAGTAGGGGATGTAGGATTGGTAGTAGATGTTGAACTGATAGATTGAGATTATGTCTGACTGTAGGGGATGTTAAAGGACTGGTTTAGGCAATAATGCTGGGTGATGTTGTTCGACTGGTAGAAGGATATGTTTAAGGACTGGTTGTGGAGATGTTGTTGGACTGTTTATTATAATTACTTACATTTATTTTCGACACCAATAATACACTAGAATTTGTTAAAACATTTTTTGGATAAAAATTATATGTTACAATTTAAGGGACTCCTGAAGAGTATTGAATGTTTTAATTTAATTTTTCGCAAAAATAACCACAAATAATCATCATAAATGAATTCCTTGAATGGACATACAATTAAGTTCTCAAGAATGGTCAATATGAGTATATATTCATCAGTGAACTTACCTGGTGTCATAAAGTTACAACAGAATCCCTGTAAAATCTAGAAAATTGGAAAATTCATAAAACTAAGTATTGATTGAGAAACGCTTAATCTTAATATTGGGCGTTTTTCATTAGTTAATTGCATTTGTATGAAGTTTTGTGGATTTATCGGATTATATAAGGATCCTGTTATGTTATTTATGACACCAGGTATATCTACTGATGAATATATGCTCTTATTGGCCAAGATTTATGTTCATTCTAAGACGTAGTATCACTTGAACTATGTAACTGTGATATTTGGTAATGTAGTTGATAGGAGTGGTTAACGTCCACTGGTTTATAAATAGTTCAATCAACTATTAACACTTAATAAAAATCTCAATTTTTTTTATAGAATGAGAGATAACGTCAAGTATCGAATCACGACCTCCATATCGCGATACATCGAATCACTCATATCGTGCCAGGTCCAGGTCAACTCACATATTGGCTGAGTTAGAATCACCAACCCAGATTGCCCCTGTCAAAGGGAAATAATTCAATACATTTTCTCTCCGACCAAAATCAGCTTACAAGATATATATGAACGCGTATTGAATTTTCTACACCAATGATACAATCTAGTATATTATTGAATTGATGACATAATCAGTACTTATATTAACAAGACAATACCAATCAATATTTTTACAATAAAGATCTAAGATTCCCACGACTGACAGACCGACAAAAAGCGCCACTACAATATTTGACAAGACTTTCAACGTGGACTAAAAAATCATTGAACATTCCAAGCCCTAGAGGATTCTAAAATATTTATATTTAAAGCTATAGAGATATGGGCGTCTCTAAATAAGAATATGGGCGTCTCTAAATAAGAATATGGGCGTCTCTAAATATGAATATGGGCGTCTCTAAATATGAATATGGGTGTCTCTAGATAAGAATATGGGCGTCTCTAAATATGTATATACATATTTTACAAAATTCATTTTTTTTTTTGAATTTTCAAGTTAGAATGTTGAATTTTCAAGTTAGTAACTCGAATTTTCAAGTTAGTTACTTGAATTTTCAAGTTAGTATCTTGAATTTCAAGCTAGTATCTTGAATTTTCAAGCTAGTATGTTGAATTTAGTAACTTGAATTTTCAAGTTAGTATGTTGAATTTTATTATTCAACATACTAACTTGAAAATTCAACATACTAGCTTGAACATACTAGCTTGAAAATTCAATATACTAACTTGAAAATTCAACATACTAACTTGAAAATTCAACATACCAGCTTGAAAATTCAAGTTACTAACTTGAACATATTAACTTGAAAATTCAAGTTACTAACTTGAAAATTCAACATAATAACTTGAAAATTCAACATACTAACTTGAACATATTAACTTGAAAATTCAACTTACTAACTTGAAAATTCAAGATACTCACTTGAAAATTCAACATACTAACTTGAAAATTCAACATACTAACTTGAAAATTCAACATACTAACTTGAAAATTCAACATACTTACTTGAACATACTAACTTGAAAATTCAACATAATAACTTGAAAATTCAACATACTAACTTGAACATATTAACTTGAAAATTCAACTTACTAAATTGAAAATTCAAGATACTCACTTGAAAATTCAACATACTAACTTGAAAATTCAACATACTAACTTGAACATACTAACTTGAAAATTCAACATACTAACAACATACTAACTTGAAAATTCAACATACTAACTTGAAAATTCAACATACTAACTTGAACATATTAACTTGAAAATTCAACATACTAGCTTGAAAATTCAACATACCAGCTTGAAAATTCAAGATACTAACTTGAAAATTCAAGATACTAACTTGAAAATTCAAGTTACTCACTTGAAAATTCAACATACTAAATTGAAAATTCAACATACTAACTTGAACATACTAACTTGAACATACTAACTTGAAAATTCAACATACTAACTTGAACATATTAACTTGAAAATTCAACATACTAACTTGAAAATTCAACATACTAACTTGAAAATCCAACATACTAACTTGAGAATTCAACATACTAACTTGAACATATTAACTTGAAAATTCAACATACTAGCTTGAAAATTCAAAATACCAGCTTGAAAATTCAAGTTACTCACTTGAAAATTCAAGTTACTCACTTGAAAATTCAAGTTACTCACTTGAAAATTCAAGTTACTCACTTGAAAATTCAACATACTAACTTGAAAATTCAACATACTAACTTGAAAATTCAAGTTACTCACTTGAAAATTCAAGTTACTCACTTGAAAATTCAACATACTAACTTGAAAATTCAACATACTAACTTGAACATATTAACTTGAAAATTCAATATACTAACTTGAAAATTAAACATACTAACTTGAAAATTAAACATACTAACTTGAAAATCCAACATACTAACTTGAGAATTCAACATACTAACTTGAACATATTAACTTGAAAATTCAACATACTAGCTTGAAAATTCAACATACCAGCTTGAAAATTCAAGATACTAACTTGAAAATTCAAGTTACTCACTTGAAAATTCAAGTTACTCACTTGAAAATTCAAGTTACTCACTTGAAAATTCAACATACTAACTTGAAAATTAAAAAAATAAAAAAAATGAATGGCCCTAATACGCTTCCGTAGGATTTACCTCAGAATTTCATAAATTTTTTGGACAGATATTAAAGATTATCTTATTAATGCTTATAATGACTCATTAGAGAATGAAATCCTGTCAACAACATTTAGACGAGGGGTTATCACTATTTTACCGAAAAGTAACAAACCTAGAGAATTTTTATCAAATTGGCGACCAATACCACGTTTGTACGTCTCGTGTAAAATTTTATCAGGCTGTTTGGCAAACAAAATGAAAGTTCACCTCGATAAGATTATCAATGAAAATCAAATGGGTTTCCTTAAAGGGCGTTTTATCGCGCGCGGAAAATACATGTCATACTGAAGAAGAGAACCTTGACGGAACTCTGTTAATTGTTGATTTTTTGAAAGCTTTGGAAATTTTTGAAAAATGTACTTGGCTATTTCAATTTCCCACTAGAATTTATTCGATGGATCGACATATTGAACTCTAAATCTTACTTGGACTTCTAAATCCTTCAGTGTTCTTGGAATAACATTCAGCACAGATATTCCCTCTACAGTTTCACTAAATTTTCAAACAAAAATTGGAGAGTTAAAAAGGGCATCTCATGACTGGACACAGAGAAATCTGACTGTAATTGGAAAAATTTGTGTATTGAAAACCTTTCTGATCCCAAAATTATTTCACCTTTTCACTAGTTTACCTACTCCAAATTCTCAATTTATTTCAGAAATTAACACAATCTTTTATAAATTAATATGGGGAAAAACAGAGAAAATCTCAAAAAAAGTTCTCATACAAAAAATAAAAAATGGCGGTCTCAGAATGATAGATTTGGATTCCTATATAAAATCAATGAAATTATAATGGATTAAAATAATAGTAAATTCAAACTCCGAATTTACAATTTTAAGCCTCAATTTCTTCACTATCATGGACTTGTCAAATCTATTCAAGCTATTTTGCGTTTCATTTTAGAGGCTCCATGAACACTTATTTAAATTTTGTTATTTTGAACATGTAACCTATAATCTGTAAGAATGAATGTATAGTATTGCCATTATGATCTCGGTATTATAATAAAAAAAAAGCCAGAATAAAATGGAACCAAACTGATATGACCAAAATGCATCGCTCTGATTAAATTCTTTATAAATATTTAACGGAGAAATTTACGAATAAACGAAGATGAACAAGGGTTCTTTTGCCAACTGCTGAACTGATTATAACACAGTCAATGGCTCAGTTGATTCTATAGATTTTTGTTAAGAAACAGTCAATAGGCTTAACGCACCGTATCATGAATACGGATTTCGACATGGTCCTACCCGAGGAAATATGACGAATAGGGGTGTGGTTTGGACACGTTGATGATCTTCTGTTGTGCAGAAACGAAAATTTGACAATTTCTTTTGATATACTCACAATCCAAGCAACCCCATAGAATTAAGGACTACTATCACTCACGACGTTTCGACAAGACTCCACTAGTCGTTAACAAGTGTACAAAATATAACAAATGCGGTACCATGGTGGCCAATCATAAACAAATACTAAAAACATGTAACAGTGGGATGCGATGAAAACAATAGAAGATGAATAAAAAGATATAATAAGAGTGTTTTAATAATCTATAATTAAATAAAATTCTAAATAAATAACATTGTACTAAAAGACTTTAAGATTAGATAGATCCATTAATTAACATAAACCTCATAACTGTTAACAGTTGTCATGGAAACGTATCTTCCTTATCTGGTATGTTTACAATGTTTATATCAATTATATAGAGGATCATAAACGAGTGCTAATGTCATATGGAATTTATGAATTGAGTTTAATATTACACGAGACTTACCAGGGGAAATATTTAATCTGGCAATGAATTTCATAAATATCATACACTGTAAAAAAAATTTCCTTATTATTATTAATCACACAACTTTCAATAAATACATAATTTCCTTTAATAACTTGCACTATTTCTATATAGGACCTTCATGTTGAGGTCCACCTTTCTACAAAGTGTCCTTTCATAAATATATTACATAAGCACGAGTGAAAGATTCTATTTATCACACAACTATCAATAAATGCATAATTATTTTCCTTAAATTCCTCGCACTTTTTTTATACAAAATGTCCTTGAGCATAACAAAAAAGATCTTGGTAAA